CCAAAGAGTAAACATTTGTCTTTCAGTATTTCTATTACCTGCCATAGTAGTGTTCATGAAGTACCACATAAATGTGCCTTGAAAGAATAAGTGGACATAGAAATAACATGTATAATACAAATAAATATTTATTAGTATATTGTATTTGCCTAGTACTGGCTATGTCAAAGAGAGAGTATACACTCAGGGGAAAAACAGAACTAGATAAACATTAATTTTACTATTTTTTTATTATTTATATAATAACTCACTAAAAGAATTTCCTAAGGATATCTAAAAAATTAAAATATTGATGAACCATCACCACCTCAAGGAATTTTCTCCCTTTCCAACCTGTGATCTACCCAGGAGTTTCTTTCATGCTCATGAAAACATTTTCTCCAATAACATTCTTTGATCATTACTCAAAACAGTATTTATACTCAATGGTGAATGGGTGAACTGGTTCTCTGAAAGCAAAAGGCTTTGATTTTATCATTTGTCAGTTTCTATGCTGTAAATATTTTCAACTTCAATGATACCCGTATTTAACAGCCAGTTTTCAACATTCCTGAAGACTGAGCAGTCAGTTCTTGTGGGCAGGAATGGTCCAGTGGTATACCATTCTTCACATTCACTTTTCAACAATTCAACTTGTTTGAAGAAATAATACTTGTACTCCAGATTTCCCCTTTGAAATGTTAACTGAAAAGCATGATGTTCCTTCCAAACATACCCCACCCCCTCATGCCTCTCCTGCTTCCACTTACCAAATCTAGACCCTATGGTGAATCACTTTTCTCCTCATAGCACTGTCAACCTAAGAATTCCTTTACCCTTCCACTGCCTCTCTTCTGCAAAACTACAGCCTATCCATCAGGATGCTGACAAACTTTGACAAATCCTTGCAACACATGAATTGTTGTGACAACAAATTTGTAGTGCCCAATAGCAAATGCTACCTTTACTACAAAGTCTTCTTCCATGCCTACGAAACATTCCTCTTTGTATTCCCATCAATAGCACACCAAAACTTTTACCTCCCTCTCTCACTTCAGCATCCGCAATATAGCCCTAGTTTTATAGGCGAGCTTTCCTTGTCCTTGCAGTCAACTACAAGGAAGATTAAAAAATTTGCACTCCTCTATCAAAAGCTTACTGTTCCTTGCAAGGAACCCCATACTGTTTCCTCAAATTTAAGAAAAGAGTTCATCCTGTCTTGTTCTAAAGGACAGCCTCTGCCTCTGACCTCTTGACCACTTCCTTATTTCTCCTCTGTGATATTACCTTACCACTCATTCTCTCTCATGGTAAATGTGAACCACGCTCTATCTAGCTCCTTTCCTAGCAGTCCCCAAATATGTCCAAATCTATCTCATTAAAGAATTTAAAAAACCCAACTTTGTCAGAAAGTAGAAACAAAATCTGTTTTTATAAGACAAAAATCTTCTTGTTCTTGCCCAATTTCTCATTTTTCCTTCATTTCTAATTTCCTTGGAAGAAAGAATAGTTTTATTTCTTTTCTCTCATTTACTGGATTTTCACATTATTATAAAATTAATACAAATTTGATAAAGAAAAATTTCAAATTCAAATGTAAAAATGGTTTCAAAACAATACCAACAAAATACCAGTATTAATTCTAACTGATGGATGTGTCATTGGCATTTTATACATTTCCTTTCAGTCTAATCCTGGGTATGACTTTAGTGTTGGAATTAAATCGTAGAGTTTTATAGCATTTTTTCCATTTTTTAAATTATTATATATGGGTATTGTTCATAAACTCTCCTTATATTTTGGTGAATACGTGAGTTCATCTATGTCATTCACTCAGCAACCCATGAGACCAGCTTTCAGCCTTAACTGCTTTGCCAGTGACTTACTTGCTGAATCCAATGCATTCATTTCTTTTCCCAACTTAGTTAAACTACCTAAATTGACAGTTAGCAGTGGCCTCCCCTTTTCCTCAATTCATCTCCACTGTCATAATGTCACATTTTTGTCATCCCTCTCATCATTCTCTCTAGCCACTTTTCTCAGGAAGCTTTGCTTGCCCTTCCTCTGTACACTCAAGGTTCTGTCCTTTTTCTTTTGTCCTTGAGAATTTTCATCCACACCACAACTTAAGTAACATTTATATGCAAAAAGTCTAAATTTCTGAAAGAAATGGATTGCTTAAGGATTTGTTTGTTTCAACAATTATCTTAAGAAAGATTTTTCTACTAGTTTAATTTTTTTTATTGGTTGTTCAAAACATTACAAAGCTCATGATATATCATCTTTCATACATTTGACTCAATTGGGTTATGAACTCCCATTTTTACCCCAAATACAAATTGCAGAATCACATCGGTTACACACTCATGTTTTTACATAATGGCATATTAGTGACTGTTGTATTCTGCTACCTTTCCTATCCCTTACTATCCACCCTCCCCTCCCCTCCCATCTTCCCTCTCTACCTCATCTGCTGTTGTTCAATTCTCTCCCTTGTTTCCCCTCCCACTTTCCTCTCACAACCTCTTATATGTAATTTTGTGTAACATTGAGGGTCTCCTACCATTTCCATATGCTTTCCCTTCTCTCTTCCTTTCTCTCCCCCCACTCGTCTCTGTTTAATGTTAATCTTTTCCTCATGCTCTTCCTCCCTGCTCTGTTCTTAGCTGTTCTCTTTATATCAAAGTTTTTTTTTTTTTCAGAAGACTTAACATGTCTGGGTTACAGCTTTGAGAAAAGTAAAGAAAGGACCACGTGGTTGTCACTGGGCCCCAAGTCATGTATTAGATTCAGTAGTGAGGCGGAATAAAAATCTGGGTCTCCAAAGTGGAGGTGAGAATTACTATATGTAATATATTTAACTCAGCAAATAGCATTATTTTCAATAGTTAGAGACAAATAAAAATTTACATGCCAAATCACCAATTTATCAAGCTATAGTTTGATCAAAATGTCTTTTTATATCCCTATTCTATAAGAAGTTATTTGATTTACAAAATGAAGTTTGTTATAACTATGTTGTCACTGAAACCTGAAATATACTGAAATCAATCTGCTTTCTCTTCTGTGAGTCAGCATGGAGAAAAAGAACATGTTATCTAATTTCCCTCCAGGTAGCTTCTATGGCAGGTATTAATCATATCACCACATCTTTTATTCTCAGAGGTAAAAAGGCTCCGTGTTCTACATGGTTGGCTCATTCCCCACAATGCACACCAGCAGAATGTCAGAAGCAAAACAATTTCATAACACAAAATGCTTTATAGGTGAAATCCCAAGACAAGGAGTTCTGTTACCAAAGATGAGGGTTTAACAGCAAAAGTGTTCTGTGATCTGGTATTTAGTCATAATACTATTTTGATGAACTGGATGCATTTTGGTCCAGGTCCTACAAGAGTCATCTGTCTAACAAAGTTAGCTTGTGGTCTGTTTATATTAGAGGTAGGGCAGGAAGGACAAAATCCTCATACTTTATTTAATTCTTTCACTTTCAAATTTGACACACTAGGTTACCAGTTTTAAATCATTTAATTTTTATGTTAAATTTGAGAAAACTGTTAGAGAAAGAACTATTATATTTATTAAGCAGATGGAGAAATTCAGGTTTAGATGAATTGACTTGGTAAATTATAATAAAATCTCAAGTTTTATGACTCCTAGCCTGAAAAGTATTCTCTGGTATTAGTATTTCTGTTGGCTTGTTATTAAATGGCAATATTCTCTTTGATGAAAAGCACAGAACAAGAGTAAACACAGCAGCACATTTTCCTTCTGATAGGGTTTTCATCTTTCACTTTCTGTGCCTGAGTTGGTTCTATTCTGTGATACATATTCCAAAACTTGATTTCTAACAATATTATTCAATAAAAATATATTCAGTGAACCAAACTGGAAGTGCAGTGGTATATCAACTATGATATCTTGGAAATCATTTTCCCACAATGGATCTTAGTTTCCTATATGAAAACAAAATCAGGAAGTTACTGAAAATATTATGTTGTTTTCTTACATTTTGTAATTTCTTATGGTGTTTGCCCTAAATACTAATTTTAAGAATAACGTGTCTCACAGAACTACTAACCAGCACTACTGCCTACCCAGTGGCCCTTGCCAGAAACCCTGGAATCTTAAAAGGCACATTTTTTCATCCCCTTACTGGCTACAACCCAAAGACATCAGGTGCTCTTGATGCTGCTGGTTTTATGCCCTGAAAACCTCAGAATCTGTCCTTTGTTCTCAGTCTCCACCAATTCTGTCTTAGTTTAGATTCTTAGCACCTTATTGGGATTACTCTTAGCTTACATCCTATTTCCAGACTGTCAATTTCAATTTTTATTATATTCATAAAGAATGAGTTTCAGCAATGGGTGTAACCTAGACTTCTTAGTATTCCTGCATTTCTGCTTTTCATGTGTTGTTGATGCTTTTCAATACTTCAGGCAGACCATTTTAATTAGGTACAGGTGATTCTCTTGGGCTATTTATACAGCTACTATTTTCTTACTTATCATTGCCTAGCAGTACTAATAGTACCAGTAGGAAGTACAAATGGAGCTTTCCAGGCTCCAGAGAAGGCAGCCAAACTCATACTTACCAGAGAACCGTATCTAAAGATGGCAAATCCTACATTTGCTTACATGGAAAATTACCTACAGAATTCCAGTATGTTTTTTCTTACAGAATGTATGTCTTCCTCACTGGAAAAGATCATTCCAGATATGGAGATTCAATCTAATGAAGATTCCTATTGACTGTCAAATAAAGTTACTTTACTATAAGTGTTTCAAATGAACCTTGCGCTATAGTCCATTATCCTAGAGACATTTCCTAAGTTATCCTTTACACAATATATTTGAAGAATATTTTGAGTCCACAGTCCCTTTAAAATGTAACTCGAATTTTAAAGTTTAAAGATATTATACTGGACTGGAGAATCTGCTAAGTGGAAGAGTACTTGTCTATCATGTATGAGGTCCTGGGATTGAGCCCCAGCACTTGAGAAAAAAAGAAATAATACTTACACCAAAGTTGGTAGCAGCAAATCGATCTGAGGCGGAAACCTGTACATTTGTTGAAACCGTTGTGTGAGCATAGAAAGCATTTATATTAGCCAACAAGGTGCTCATGACAGCAGGAACACCAGGGCACATGTATTTAGAAGACAGACAGGAAAAGTGCCTGCAAGATGAAAAAATATAAAGTGATTTTAAAACACACTAATTCACATAACAGCATCTCTTCTATTGTCAGCAATTAAATCATTCCTCAATTGTATCTATAAAAAGAAACTCCTACCATGTCTAATTGAAGGAGAAAACAATTTCAAACTTTTGAAAATTTCTCATTCACAAATATGAAGTTGCTTAATCAGAATGTGATTTGACACAGGGTTGTGTATGATTCCTTTCAACTCTAAGAATGTTGTGTGTTTACCCCTAAAGTGCTTCCATGGAATTTAGCACTCCTGGAAAGAAATGCCAAAGAAATCTCTCTTTCTCTCTCACTTAATGCTCCCCCTTTATTTCAGCTCCTGAAATCCCATATTCCAGCTAAATTTTGCCTTGTATTTCCCTCTCATTGAAATAGCAAGAGGCCCTCCTCTTACTACACATTGATTCAATTACGTATCTGACTTGAGTCTAGTCTGTGAGCTTTTCCAGAAAGGCCTATCTTCTATAAGCAGTTCTGTTTTCTGAGCACTTTTTTTTTTTTTTTTTTAACAGATGGAAGATAGTTAGACAAATAGATGAATAGTGAGAACACAATGAATTATGCCAGCTTTCTGCTTAAAAACCATTTATTTAAAATCCTGAATAATAGTACCATTTATAATCATCAAAAGCATCAAATGTTCAATTCTGTTACTTCTCTCAAGGAAATCTGTTTCATTTGAACTATAACAAAAGATTTGGAAATTGAAAGCAGAGCTTATGATAAAAGTAGAAAAGTAGATCAAATATTCATGGAGAAAAGAAAATTTCAGTATATAATCTGATCCTATTTTGCTCTCATATCTTAGTAATTTATCCTCCACCTAGCCATCTCTCATTTTAACTATTGAAAAGCAACACCAAATATAAATACACAAGTAAGTGGATAGTACTCCTAAAAACTATGTTTCATAGAACTCAGCCAGGTTATCTTGCCACTCAGTTTTTTTTCTGATACTAGCTAATGAAAATTAAAACATTAAACATGGATCTTTGAGAGGCAGAAATAATATTTATACCACAAAAATACATGACATGTAATTTAACCTTGAATTGAGATCATTAATGATTGCTTACCTTCTTAATATAAATGATATAGAATCCAATTTCATTATATACTGAACTTTTTATAATAAATATTTAAGATTATCACAATAATATAAAATTATTTTTGAGAAGAAAATCTAAAAATCTAGGCCTATGCCATCGTATTTCATATTTTTTCAATAAATCATGTTATTAAAATTGTTAGACTTAAATCATTGTTGTGTAATATGCAATGCTTAAATACAATTGTATAGAAGATTGTGAAAGGAAAAATGCCAAAGGAAGAGAAATACAGAGAAAAAAGGGATATAACAACATCAAAGGTAATTGTCAAATACACAAAGGGTGGCATTAATTACCCAGAACCTTCAGGGTTTCCTCATGTTGGTTAAGACAAATTTTCTGTAAGTGTTAATAGGTCACTTTTGTAAGCTGACAGATAAAATTGTATGTATTATCATGCACAACATGGTATTTTAAAGCATAAATAAATTCATGATGAAAGTACCCTAAGAAAGTATGATTTTGGTGTTCCAGAGCAATGTTTTACAACTAAAACGGGAGGTTTAACAAATAATTTATAGGTTACATATGAAAATTTGTGGATGATAGACTGCCCGGTAAATGTATGCAATGTTACTTAGTTGAACACAATCTCTGCTATGCACTTATCATTACTGTTAATGTATACTATCCATAGAAAATAAATTGAGAAAACAATGAAGCCAAACTTTGGTTTACAAGTTAAAGTTTTCTTATAAAAAAAACTTTGATTTAGAAGCAGTTATAATTTTTTTCTTATTAAAATTGATTAAAATTAGAATTTTTTTCTAGAGGTTTGCAACAATTTTAGTGTTTACCTTAGTCTTCACAGAGGGTATTAGTATTAGAGAATGAATCGTGAAATTGTCTCTGAAATTAGTATATAGAAAGATTGAGAGGAGTAGGTATTGGAAGCAGAAAAACAATTTAGGAAGTAAAGTGAAAATTGACACTCCTGCTCTGCTCCCAACATGGATAAACTCTTCTCATAAAGAAGGGTGGGGGGAGCAAAACATTTATAGCTCCAGATGATCCAAATGTCATAGAACTATGCTGTTTACTTCTGATCTCCAAAAACCTTGAATAGACTTTCCTTATAAAATAGTTTTAAACTTCATTTTAATCATGTTATAAATGAAGATCTATTATGATCTCAAAATGTGAAAAGCAGGTGGGAAAGTTGCTGTTTTCAAAGGAATAGCATGAAAACACCATGCTAAATAAATGACCACAGGAATCACAGTTTTTTTTTTTTTCTTTAAATACTTGGTTGGTTTTTCTTGTTGCTGTTGTTATTTTTAATATTATTGTCATTATAACTTTTATTGTTGTTTCTGAAGTCTGACAGTCTTTCCTGTATTTGTTGTAGTTAAACATATTCTTTCCTTTCCTAACTTGCTTCCCCCAAGATCTTAAAGCTAGTAGAGTGCTCAAGGAGTAAAGCTGAGGCAATAACAAGTTAAGAACCATTTCTTCTAACCACTAAGTAAACCTTCTTAAATTTATACTCCTCCTTGTCTTCTATATTTTTTTAATTTAAATTTACTTAAATAAGTTTTAAGATTTTGCATATTGGTAGTATGCCATGTGATATTTAGATACACATATACAGTGTATAATGTATAAGTCAGCTTAAACATATCATAGTCCACAAACACGTATTATTTCTTTATGGTAAAAATATTAAAAATCCTTTAGCTTTCTGAAATAAACAGTACATTATTATTTTAGCCATCCTACTGCACAACAGCACACAGAAACTTTCTATTCCCACGTAACAGCACCTACAGATCAACCTCTCCCCATCCCTCCTTCCTCACTCTGCCCAGCCTCTAGTAACCACCATTCTTTCAATGTTTATGAAGTCAACATGTTTATTTACTATATTCATAGGAGATTATGTGGCACTTGCCTTTCTGTGGCTGGTTTATTTCCATACATGTTGTCACAAATGACAGGTTTTCACCAATTTTTAAACAACTGAGCAGTAAGTAATCCAATGGGGTACAAGTACATTTCCTTGACTCACTCTTCCACTGTTGTACACAGCTTGTTTCCCATTTTTTTGGCTATCATGACTAGTACTCCAACCAACTCCAACAAAAGGGAGTGTGGATATCCCTTGAGCAGACATTTCATTTCTTTTGGTTACATATATGTAGTAGTGGGATTGCTGGATCATATGTGACAATATTTTTAATTTTTTTTGAGGAACCTCTACACTATTTTTCATAGTGGCTATGCTAATTTGCATTACTTCTTTACTTTCAATCAACAAATTAAAATTATATATATATATATGTATATTTATGGTGATATATATGTATATATATTCACACATTATAGAATGATTGATTCAAGATATGTTCACTGCTTTACACATGTATCATTTCTATGTGATGAGAATACTTAAAATTACTCTTTTAGCTATTTTCAAGAACACAATACATTGTTATTTACTATAGTTGTACCATAGATCTCTTGAATACATTCCTGTGATCTAACTGAAATTTTGTATCCTCTGGTCAACTTCTTCATAACCCTCCCATTCCCAGTAGCCCCTTATAACCACAATTGTATTCTCCACTTTCATGAGTTTGACTTTTTGAGAGTTCACAAATGAATGAGATCATGCAGTATTTGTCTTACTCTGTCTGGCTTCTTTCATTTAACACAGTCTGTTCCAGGGTCAACTGTATTGTCATTAATGACAGGATTTTTTCTTTTTTAAAGGGTTAGTAATATTATATTTTAAATATATACCATATTTTCTTCATCTGTTGATGGGCACAGGTTGACTCTTTATCTTGATCATTTTGAATAATGCAGTAATTAACATGGGAACACAGACATCTTTTCAGCAAACTCATTTCATCTCCTTTGAATCAACTCCCTCTCTTTTCAAGGTTGCATATTATGAATGTACCTGCTTCTTCTGAAATAGTTTGGCCATGCTTTATTGTTCTTTTATCCAGTGCATATTTAGTACAGATATTTCCTGTACCCAGGAATTGAATAATTTTTTTCTTAATGAAAACAAAGCAATATGAGCCAGAGGTATTTATCTAGAATTAAATAGTACAGGACATACGCTTGGTTACCTTGAATATGACAGAATATTACCGCATCCAATTACTTTGTGAATATTTGGCCAAAGTACATAGCAGGTAATGCTATAACAATGATGACTACTTGAAGGTTAATAGTATTCCACTTAACATCAGTATGCTGAGAGCAGTACTTTAAATTTTCCAGAGCATTAGGCATGTATTTGTCTTAGAGAACTGACAGAAATATTTTACTTTCTGATTAAAATATAATTGAGGTGTTTTCAGGGATATGATGGGTGGTGGCAACCTGCACAGGTCATCCATCTAAACCTCCCATGGAAACTTCCAAGAAAAGCAAATATGATGTAAAATCACTACACCTTTGGAAATAAAGGCTACCAATCAAAAGATTTCTTGGTACATGCAAGGGCTTTTCCATAATTTTAGAGCAGCTGGCTAGACTGAGAAATACCCAGTGGCTAACTAGTGTATAAAATTCTAAAACATTTACCAGAAAAGAGAAATGGGAGGATATTTCTAGGAACCATTCACTGTAGGCCTCTACATTGGAGGTATGTGGCCAAGACTGATGCCCAGCAAGGCTGTAAATCAATTACTATTCCATAGTAATGGCCTCCAGAGGTAGTAAAGCTATTTTTCATTTCCCACATCTTCTCATTCTGTATCCATTAGAGAGTATACGATTCCCAAAGTTGCAATGCAGCTTATGCAATGGGGGAATGGGCAATGGAATATGGAACTAGTTAGCGGAAAGGACTGGAAGAACACTGGGAACAGTGTACCCTGTGGATTATATTATTACTGTTTA